AATGTTTCTCTACAGCCACACGTGTCTCTTCTCCTGGATCAGAGTTCTCTTGGACATGTTTGAGTACAGCAAATGTTGTGCAGCATGGACTGCACGTAGTCCCAAACGGCAAAACCTGCCACTCATAGACACTGACTGGAGTATCACGCTGCATGTTTCACCATAGAAATCTGAGAAGTGACTTGTCCTCTGGGATCAGACGAATCTGATGAAACATGCCTTTGATATCGCTTGTGATTGCAATAGCATGCTCCCTAAAGCGAAGCAACATTCCTAGTAAGGTGGAAGTAAGAGTAGGCCCAGGCAACAGGTAATCATTAAGGTTGTGGCCTTGATATTGAAAGGAACAGTTGTACACTACTCTATGCTTATCATTATGGTGTACCATGTGGTGTGGTATGTACCATGATTCAGGAGTTTGATCGACTGCTTCACTTGCCAGCTTGACGACGTACCCCCATTGCTCCAGTCTTTCAATTTCTTGGTTATACACCTTTGTGAGTTCTGGACTCTTACTGAGACGTCTTTCCAATGCTTTGAGGTGGGGAAGGACAGATTCTTTAGGCGCTTTCAGTTGAGGCATATCTGGTTTTCTCAAAAGGGGTGTAGCATAGCGTAGCACTCCATCTACATTAACCCTTGCTGTCTTTGTCTCAAGAAGAGTTATAGCCTCTTGATCGCAACGTGAGCGTGTCACCACTTTCTCATTGCGGTATGGTAATACATCAAGCTGCCAGAGCCTTTCCACATCTTGCAATAGCTCTGAAGGAGCAGAGGTCACAGATGTAAAAAGGCATTGTTGTTCTGGGATTTGGTGCTGGACTACATTAGCTGGCCCTTAGAGTGTCCATCCTAATCTGGTCCTGATAGCAGCTGGCCCGCCTTGTGGGCCGAAACGCACTGGCTCCATGGGGGTGATTAAGTGGTGATGATCAGAGCTTATAAGCAGCAATGGCTGGACCTGAGAAAAGGCATGAAGGGGTAGTCCTCTGAGATGTTGGTATTTTCTTTGCAGTAGGGTAACTGGATGTGAGTGCTTGGCCAAGCCCAAATTTTCTGCAGTAAAGGCACCTTTTATTTTGAACTTCTTGTTTGGCTGGAATGCAGGGGACAGAGTGAAGGATACTCTTGCACCATGAATGACTTGAGCATCATGTCGTACTGTTCTCAAAGAAAGGTTCTCAGTCTGCCCCTTAAGCTTAAGCTGCTGTGCCGCATCATGAAGCAGGATGGTACGTTCTGAGCCATCATCCAAAATCGCATAAGCCATCAATGAATGCTTGCCATTATGCAACAGGACTTTACTGATTTTCAGAAGGACTTGGCTACCACCTACTGGCCGATCTAGGTATAGTGTTTGACTTACTTGAGGTCCCTCAGAATCTTTCCGGTCTATTGATCTGCTGTTGATGTCATGCAAGACAGTCAGGTGTTTGCCCTTGCAAGTTTTGCACGTGGCTTTCAATCTGCATTGGGCCGCCTGATGTTTACGCCCACACCTCCAACATTTCTTATTCAGCTTAATCCAGTTAGTCTTGAGCTCACTGGTTAACTGAGTGAAGTTCGTGCATTGATTAAGATAGTGGTGATTATTGCCGCAGTAATGACAGTAAATATTCTTGTTAGGGCTTCGAAATTCTGAGGGTTTGGCAGCTGGAGTGTTGGTAGACTGATCTACACCATGCAGAACGGCTATTGTCTGAAAGGTGTGCTTACACTGTCGTGGAGCCTCTTTCTGCTGACCAGCACGTCCCCTTGCCTCACTGGTGTTGAGTTTACTGTCAGTGGATTGCACCTGCAACTCGAACTCAAGCCAGTGTGAAAAATCAAGGAGATTTGGAATGGGACTTTTAAGGGGGTGAACATATCTTTTGAAGTTAGCCTTGAGATCGTGAGGGAGTTTGGACATGAGTCTTGCCACATGCGAGCCACATTGCAATTCAATAGCTGCCTTTTCATTCAACTGATCAAGCATACCCACCAATGCTCAGTCTCTGAGGGCAAACCTCCAAAAGACCTGAGTGTCTCCACTTTGAATATTTGGCCCGTCCGTTAAGTCAGCAATTTTCTGTAATGCCAACTGATGAGGCTGTCCATAATGCTCAGTTAGTGATTGCATTGTCTGGGTGTACGGATAACGGGAGTTGCTGTAAGAGTCTGCTATTAATAAGGCCTCTTCGAATTTCAAATGCTCGAGCAGAATTTGATATTTAAATTGTTCAGTTGCATCAAGTGGCAGCAAATTGTCAAGAGATATTTTGAGTCTAGCAAACTGCCTTGGATCCTCTGACGTGAAGTCTGGTATTGACGGTGTAGGACCTCGATAGATGCTCTCTCTAGTTGGAGGTGGTGGAGAGTGAGGAACAAAGTCTTTTGGCTGATAATGAGGCCTTGGATAGTCATCAGTTCGTTCTCTGATACGGGAGTCAGGTGAAGGGGAAAGGCTGAGTATATATGGCTTTGGTGGAATGTATCTCTGATCATGCAAATAGCTTGGGCCCTGTGCAGTGTGTGCACTTGTCGTGTGCTGGGGTTGTGATGCACATGGGGGCTTTGGATGATATTGCATATGTCTGCTCCTTGGTGTGGACTGCAATCTCATTTTGGAAAGATCATCTGACAACTTAGCTTCATGGTCTAGCTCCTCAACTGCTGACCTAGCCATTCCATCATCCACGACTGAATTTTCTGAAGCCTCTTTATAAGTCTGATTACTCATTTGAGCTATTAGTTACTTGTTAGAACGTGGAGCTGGGACAGGAGGGACCCTCGTCTGTTTCTTCTCTACACTACATAATGAATGAATGCGAGGCAGAGGTGAAGGACACTGAGATGAGTCGGTTTTATCCTTTTCAGAACTGCGTTTCAAGTCCTTTATGGTTTCATGCAGACGTCTGTTCTCTTCTCGAAGCTTCTGAATCATCATTTGCGCATCTCTGTCTACATATGGTTCTCCTATATCTTCAACCACATCTCCACTATCTGTCTCACGCCACCTTATGAGGGGTGTCATCTTGGCAGCTCCCTCCATCTGGTAAGAAGTACTCTGACTTTCTGACTCACTGTGGCGATGCTCTGGCAGTGCCCTGGAAGAAGGTGGATATGTATGCTGGAGGCCTCTGTATTCCACTTCATAATCCGCCAAATGGAGCGGAGGACGTGACAACCGCTTCCTGCAGACATCAGGCTCATGCTCTGACTCTGAATATGCACTGGACATCTTATTCCGTGACCATCACCATCCGGCTCGAAGGACCATCAATGTTAAGTATGTTTTGAACTGGTTTGGTTTAGATGGGATCATCACGGGGCATCGGTAAGAATGCACAGAAGTCCATGAGTCCAATCACTGTTTTTAATAAAGTTTCAAGCCAGCTGACATACACAGTGCAGTCGTGATTGTGTATGGGTTTACAAACGTGTGTGGTTTTTCTATAATTAAAACAGAAATACAATAATCAATTCACAGCAATAAACGACAAACACACCCATATCAAATGTACAAACACGTGAGGACATGTGACTATAATCGACTAGTGATGTACGCGATCATCGTCTTATAACTGCTTTTCAATTATAAATAATCTTATCAATCCACACAATATGGCTCACTGACATTTGTATGATGTATACATTAAAGTAAAATGTGAAATATTATTCGTCATCACACTTATACAGCGCACATTGAAGCGCACGTGCAGAGACAGCGAACATTTATAGCGCTAGCATTAACTTCACGGAGATATGGATGCAATATATATCAGCATGGTTAAATACAGCATACAGCAATATAAACAAGCTTAAAGAACATGTATAAATATATGTGGGAAAATAAACTTACTTTCAAAGTTACGCACACTCATCTATGGCTTGAATACACGCGAGCCCTTCATCACGTTAAAGTGGAACATGAAATGTTGCGTCAAACTCTGGGGGCGGGACTAAACTACGCTGTCAGTAATTCACAGTCCACCAATAAGAATAAAACAATAAACCCAGCAAATATATAATAAGCCTTTTCTGCTCACACACATATATATATATATACACACACACACACACACACTACTGTTCAGAAGTTTGGGGTTAGAATGATTAATGATTAATTAGTGTTTTTGAAAGAAGTCTCTTATGCTCACCCAGGAAGAATTTAATAGAATACAATATTACTGTTTTACTATATTTTTTCTCAATGTTAATAGATTTCTTTTTAAAATTGAATTTATTCCTGTGATGACAAAGCTGAATTTTTAGCAGCCATTACTGTAATGTTCAGTGTCACGTGATTCTTCTGAAATCATTTTAATATGCTGATTTGCCCAAGAAACATTATTATTATTATTATTACTACCAATTATTACCAATGTTGAAAACAGTTGTTTTTTTCACAGTTTCCACAAATATTTTTGTGGAAACTGTGATACTTTTTCTTTTTAAGTGGGAGAACTTGCACAATTGGTGGCTGACTAAATACTTTTTTGCCCCACTGTAAATATTTTGTATAATTATAAATGTCTTTACTGTCACATTCAATTTAAGTTTCACTTTAATACATTCAATTTAACACACACACATACATTTTCTTTTAAAATTATATTCATTATAATTATGTTGAAAACAGTTGTTTTTTTCACAGTTTCCACAAATATTTTTGTGGAAACTGTGATACTTTTTTTTTTCTTTAAAAAGTTCATAAGAACAGCATTTATTTGAAATATAAATATTTTGTATAATTATAAATGTCTTTACTGTCACATTCAATTTAAGTTTCACTTTAATACATTCAATTTAACACACACACATACATTTTCTTTTAAAATTATATTCATTATAATGTTATAAATGTTTGACTACCTGCAAAACATTTAATACCTTAATTTTTAATACCTTAATGTAAAAACATAGCATAGTGTAGCATTCTATATAGTTGCTTGCATGTGACTCATTTCTTTCTTTCTTTCTTTCTTTCTTTCTTTCTTTCTACTTCTATCTGACTATAGACACAGTTCAGCACATGTCTGACAGCAGGCATATTGTGGTGTATCACCGAGGCCGTTACTTTAAAGTGGGGATGTTTTATGATGGGCGGTTACTGTTGCCACGGGAGATAGAGCAGCAGATGGAGAGGATTCTGGCTGAAACGTCAGAGCCACAGCCTGGAGAGGAAACCCTCGCTGCCCTAACCGCAGGGGACAGGTATTCACAACACATCCAACAGCAGGAGTAGCTACCATTTTCCTGACGTTCATTTGTCTGATCTCTTGTAACCACTGTAAAGCTTCAGTGGGATGTCAATTTGAAATGAGGCCCTTCTTGTTTCTTCTTCCACTCTTTTTTTAACTATTACCGGTTATCATTTTTACTGAACAGTCAAAACTATTTTAGATTGAGTAAACACTTGTTGTCTGTCTATGTCAGAGTGCCTTGGGCGTGTGCCCGTAATGCCTACCTCAGACACGGCAAGAACAAGAAGTCTCTGGATGCTGTGGAAAAGGCCGCTTTCTTTGTTACACTGGATGACACAGAGCAGCGCTATGACCCAGCAAACCCTGTGGAGTCCCTGGACTGTTACGCTAAATCACTGCTCCACGGGAAGTGTTATGACAGGTGAGGAAGAAACCATAGCATGTGTTAAGAGGAGACCACCTCCTTCTATGCCCCTTTGAAATGGTGTTTGTGAGTCTCTAGGTACCAGTACTGTACCTCGGAGTAGCTTTTATATAACGTACATTTTATTGGTCATTTTTTTCCTTAGGTGGTTTGATAAGTCCATAAACTTAATTGTCTTCAAGAATGGAACCTTGGGCCTTAATGCAGAACATAGCTGGGCCGATGCTCCTATCGTTGGCCACCTCTGGGAGGTACACATGCACACATGCACTACCATTCAAAGGTTTGAGGTCAGTAAGATATTTGTCTTTTTTAAAACTTCAAAACTTTCTTCAAAACTTTATTGTATACTTTTATTCAGCAATTAAATTGATTGTTACAAAAAAGTTAAAAATCACCATATTAGAATAATTTCTGAAGGATCATTTGACACAGAAGACTGGATTAATGGCTGATAGAAATACAGCTTTGCTAATACAGGAATAACATTTTTAAATATATAAAAAAATAGAGAACAGTTATTTTCAATTGTACTAATATTTCAAAATATTGCTGTTTTTACTGTAATTTTGATCAGAAAAAAGCAGGTGAGCATAAAATAGTTCTTCCAAAAAACAAAACAAAACCAAAAAAACTTGCCAACCCCAAACTTTTGATGTTTACATCAGTTGTATTTCACTTTTAGTTCATATGTATCATGCATAAAATGCTAATCTGCTGCCAATATAAATTTTGATGGCATTTTTTCATGAAGCAAGTGCTCTCGATGGACCCAGTTAAGCTAGGCTACTCAGCAGAGGGCCACTGTAAAGGAGAAACTCACCATAATCTTCCTGGACCTCAAAGACTCCAGTGGAATATCCCACCTGAGGTCCGTGTATGATTCACTTTGTAGTAAAAATGCTGATAATAGCTCAATTTTTCTCATCTTGCTTAAGTGGATATGAAAGGAACAAGACATTCTTTTGTTTGACGTTCTCTCTGTTGTGTTTTGTGTTTCATGGCAGTGCCAAACTATGATTGCCAACTCTTTGTCTGTGGCTGTGGCTTTGGCTGATGATGTGGACTCTCACATCATCCCCTTCAGTAACTTTGGGAAAGGCCTGATCAAGAAGTGCAAGATCAGTCCTGATGCCTTCATCCAGCTTGCACTGCAGCTGGCCCATTATAGGGTGAACTGTCTTATCACTGAACTTCTGAAATGTAGCAAAACATGCCTGCTTATCGCTCACTTGAAATGGTAAAATGATGTCTATGTTTTTTCATTATACAGGACAAAGGAAAGTTTTGCCTGACTTATGAGGCATCCATGACACGTTTATTCCGAGAAGGCCGTACAGAAACTGTGCGCTCCTGCACCATAGAATCCTGTGCTTTTGTCCGTGCCATGATCAACAACAAAACGGTATCATGCCAAAAACAACCCTTAAAGGGATAGTTCACCCAAAAATGAAAATTACCCCAAGATTTACTCACCCTCAAGCCATCCTAGGTGTATATGACTTTCTTCTTTTAGACTAGTACAATAGGAGCTATATTAAGAAATGTCCAGGCTCTTCCAAGCTTTATAATGGCAGTGAATTGGTGATATTCAGTAGTCCAATCCGCTTGTTAAGTCGTGATGTAAGAAATGCTGTTTCCGGGTCCAAGCCTCAACTCGTTTCACTTTAGAATGCTATCTCAACAGCTGTTTATGAGCACTGTTTATTCATATTACACATTTAAGCTAAACATTTAAAAACTTATGTGTACACTACAATCTCCGTGCTCACAGCGTCCCAGACACAAATAATTTTTATATTTATTTATATTTTCATTGTCTGGCTGTCTGGGATTTTGGTATGGAGTTAAAGGTTAGGATTATAATTTTTCTGGTAGTATTATATCACACTGTAAGTGTATATTAGCACCGTTTGTTGTTTTCTTCTGGCATCTGATAGAGCATTTTTTTTAAAGCCAGAAGCGGTGACACGTGGCGTCAGACTTAACAAGCGGATAGAAGTCCAATAAACTGTGTCCATCCATCATAAAAAAGTGCTCCACATGGTTCCGGGGGGTTAATAAAGGCCTTCTGAAGCGAATCGGTGTGTTTTTGTAAGAAAATATCCATATTTATAAACCATAATCTCTAACTTCCGCTAACTGGTACGTGCGTTCATGAGAGAGTCGCGTTCCAGCGGATGACGGAGGACGTAGGTGTAGTGTAAGGTCTGGTGAGAATATGCTAGTCTCGCGAGAACCAAGTTTTGTTAACAGGAGCAAAGGAAGCAAAATTTCCTTTGTTTAGCAAAGGAAAACCAGTCTTCTCTTGGATTATATCGAAATCCTCCAACATATTTCTTTACAAATCCTCATTTTGTACTTCTAGTTTGTGACCGGTGTTTTGTTTTGCTCTCTCCTCTGCACTTCCGCGTTTGTCACCTCTCACCGGAGCTTACGCTATGCCTACATCCTACTGGAATGCCACTCTCTCATGAATGCATGTACGATAGTTAGCGGAAGCTAGAGATTAAGGTTTATAAAGTTTTGAATATGGATATTTTCTTACAAAAACGCACCGATTCGCTTCAGGAGGCCTTTATTCACCCCCGGAGCCTTGTGGAATACTTTTTATGATGGGTGGACATAGTTTATTGGATTTCTATTGGACTATTGAATGTCAACACCCATTCACTGACATTATAAAGTTTGGAAGAGCCTGGACATTTTTTAAATATATAACGATTTTATTCGTCTGAAAGAAGAAAGTCATATACACCTAGGATGGCTTGAGGGTGAGTAAATTATGTCGTAATTTGCATTTTTGTTTAAACTATTCCTTTAAACGCACGGGGGAGGGCGATTCACTCTGTACCAATGTTGTACTGTAGTACTTGAGACTAGACAAGACCGGACTGGGATTCCAAGTCCAAGACCATTGATTAGTCGGTAACATTTTATAATAACTTTCATTAATAAATAAATCATTAACAAACATTATATAATGCTTAACAGATCATTAGATATTATATATTCACATAGCTAGAAATATGAGATAATGTGCTTGTTAATGTTTACTAATGAGCTTATTAAACATTACCTAATGATTAACAGATCATTATTTTATGTAAATCGAAATGCTTACAAATGTCAGTAAACTTTCCATTCATATGATTATGCACTTTTTAAATATCTTCAAATGATTTTGATAGATGGTTTACAATAATTAAAAGATTCATTAATAAAGAATGTTCAAACATTATTTAATGCTTAACAGATCATTAGTTAATGCTTACAAATGTCATTAAACTTTCAATTCATATGCTCATGCACTTTTTAGATTTTTAAATAGCTAGAAACATGAGATAATGTGCTTGTTAATGTTTACTAATGAGCTTATTAAACATTACCTAATGATTAACAGATCATTATTTTATGTAAATCGAAATGCTTACAAATGTCAGTAAACTTTCCATTCATATGATTATGCACTTTTTAAATATCTTCAAATGATTTTGATAGATGGTTTACAATAATTAAAAGATTCATTAATAAAGAATGTTCAAACATTATTTAATGCTTAACGGATCATTAGTTAATGCTTACAAATGTCATTAAACTTTCAATTCATATGCTCATGCACTTTTAAAAAAAAATCTACAATTGATTTTAACAGAAATTAAACAATGATTAAAAGTATATTTGTTAATGTACTTTTGAATGTGAACAAATGTCATTGAACTTCAGTTCATATATTACCTAATGCTCTTTTATACATTTACAAATGTTGAGAAAAAATAGCTTAGTTAGTAATTTTAAGCACTCTACAAACTATTCGTGTTAACATATTAACTCGTAATCATAGTCTGTAAAGGTCATTAGTTTTCATTTGTTGTGTAGTATTCTACTATTTACTCATCTTAAATCATTTATTAATTATTTATTTATGTTTTTTTCAGAACCCAATCTAAAGTGGAAACTATTAATCATTTGTAAATGTTTACAAACATTTACTAATCATTAGTAGTATCATTATGAGCAATCTCGATGGCAAAATGTGTCCCAAATGACCTGATTTCACCCTATTTTCACATCTTTACAAATCAGTTTATTTAGCAATTGTTCATGTATTTGCAGTACCCAATCTAAAGTGGAGTTGATTCATTATTTGTAAATGTTTATACACGTTAACTAACCATTCAGTTCCTTTACGGGCATTGGTCTTTTAGCTGCTGTAACAACTTTTGAGTAAAGGGTGGTTGGTTAAGTTTAACTAAATGCTTGCTAAAGACAACACGTTGTAATTTTAGTCCAAAACTTGTTTTTTTTTATTGCCTCAACACTTATATTAGTATACTACTGTATAACATTAAACAGAATATTCCTTGAATCATACATCAACAGAAGAAAACAAATCAGTTTTTTCAAGAAAATGCTTGTTCATTTATCAAAACAATGTAATATAAACAGATTGAACCATCTTCTGACCCCTTAGCCAACTTTTAAACCTACCCATACTACCAAACCTGTCCCTAACCTTACCTGTATCACACCTCAATAGCAGCAAAAGTGTTGCGCATTAACAAAAGCTTTTAATCATTGTATAACATCTGTTAAAATCATTTGTAGATTTTGAAAAACTGTGTGATCACATGAATTGGAAGTTTAATGACATTTGTAAGCATTTTCATTTAAATTAAATATTGATCTGTTAGTCATTAGGTAAAGTTTAATAGTAAACATTAACAAGCACATTATCTCATGTTTCTAGCTATTTAAAAATCTGTTAACAAATGATCTCTTAAGCATTAAATGTTTATTAACGATTTATTAATGAAAGTTTTTATAAAGTGTTACTGACTAGTGAGAAACATCTAATTCGAGTCCAAGTCTATGCTGTGTCCAAATGCTCCTGAAAATATGGTCTTTGACTCAGACTTGAGATAAAAAATTATCAGAAAATTGAGACCAGTCTTGTCCGGTCACTAGTATTAGAATAGGGACACACCAAACTGACACAGAAGAACTAGCACTGAGAAAAGCTAACTGTGGCGTCGCCTTACGTCGTGTCGCTTCGCATCGCTTGCGTCGGGGCAAAAAAGTTGCACTAGAACACACAAGACAGGCTACAGCCGACAGCCAACTAGCGTGTACACTCTGCTCTTGTGTGAGAGAACATAACTCTCCCATTCCAGCAGGTGGCAGTAATCTGTGTTCGACATTCAAACAGGGAAACTGGAAGAGCTAGAACTGTGTATATTGTGTAAAATTCCTTTTCTTTTCTCGTTGGCTCATTCGCTAAGCTGAATAGCCAATTGCAGTTCTCTTTCTCGCCGACGAGCTCCGCCACTGATTCGTCATGCAGAATCGTCCGAAAAACAGCTGACAGCGTCAAACTAGAGCCAACGGTGCAGAACACACCGAAAAAACTAAAGCCGATCGATGCTCAAAAACCAGCCGACATTGCCCGACAACCGACCGTCAGCTTGGTGTGTCCCGGGCTTTATGGTTAGTTACTATACCAGCTCAAATAGCACAATAGCTGTTTATTTCATTTGCATTTGATTTTATTGCTATAGCTAGTGTTGGGGGTAATGCATTACAAGTAACGCGAGTTATGTCATCAGATAACTTTTTTCATGTAACTAGTAAAGTAACGCATTACTTTCAAATTTACTAGAAAATATCTTGAGTTACTTTTTCAAAGAAGTAACGCATGTTACTTTGTTTTCCCATTTATTCACTGACACCTCTCCTGTCCCTGTGTTGAGTGAAATTAGGAGTAAGGCGCAGAGGCACTTCCTTCAGCCTGAGGCACTTTTGGTGTGAAAGAGCCTTTACAGTTGCCAAAAAAGAGTAACTAAGTAACGCAAGAAGTTACTTTTTTTATGGAGTAATGCAATATTGTAATGCATTACTTTTAAAAGTAACTTTCCCCAACACTGACTGTAGCTGCTGCTTTTCAAGATTTGACAAATGCAGTTTAGCGCTTACTGGTCACCGTTTTACTGCTGCCATTACTGAAAATGAGTTTTCTGTTGTTGTTTTGAAGAGAGAAGAGAAACTTCGTTTACTAACCCAGGCCGCTGGGAAACACCAGCAGATGTATAGGCTGGCAATGACTGGTCAGGGCATTGACCGCCATCTCTTTTGCCTCTACGTAGTGTCTAAGTACCTTGGACAGGACTCCCCATTCCTCCAAGAGGTGGATTTTTGCATTTAAGTGGTTCAGAAATTAAGAATATAAAGGAACATAATCTAAAAAAAAATTATATTTGTATTTACAGTGTCCTTATTCTTCTTCTTTTTATGACAAATTAATGATAAAGGACATTTCTGCCTTTTAAGACATGAGTGTATTTGCCTTGCTTAAGAGTAATGTAGCTTATATTCTTAAAAAAAAAAATTGAATGCAAAATTCCCCACTTCCTGTCTGTTCAGGTGTTGTCAGAGCCTTGGAAACTCTCTACTAGTCAGACTCCTTTGCAGCAGGGGGAGCTGTTTGATCTGGTGAATCACCCAGAGTATGTGACCAGTGGAGGAGGCTTTGGACCGGTGAGTCTTTCAAAGATTTCATAATCTGGTAATATTAAAATGCTTCGGTGAAAGGATCGAATTTAACTTTTTAAAAAAAAAAATTTGTTAAACTCTGGTAGGTTGCAGATGACGGTTATGGTGTGGCCTATGTGATTATCGGTGAAAAACTCATCAATTTCCACATCTCTTCCAAGCGTTCTAGTCCAGAGACGGTGAGAACCTGAGAATCTGTCAAAATACAGAAAATTATGGTCCTTTTTCATTATCAGTGACCGTAGATGTTTCATCCAAAGGAATGTGAATTTTGGGGTATCAAAAACCTGCACTATAAAAACATCCTGTATGTTTCAGAACTCAAAACTTTCCTGTTAGTCTAAAAGCAGCTTATATTGAAGCCAATCTGCCAAAACGACAGGTTGTGGAATGTGCCACTTTATGATGTAATAAGCATCGCTAAGCACCGCCATCCGCAGAAGAAGATCAACGCCTGCTTCTACGTCACTGACTGTTTAACCCCGCCCACCGTTTCACACGTGTAGTGCAAATAATGAGAGCGGCAAACGCAGGTCGTTTGATATGTACTGAGTATTTATGCGTTTTTAACCTAAATCACAGCAGCGTCCATCTATGAAGGATGTAGGCTGTCAAACTAACACAACTGTTAGCCAATCACAGCAGTGGGCGTTTACTTCCCACTCTACAATCCACTACTCCTATTCAAACAGAGCGTTCTGATGAGGGGGGCCAAAACAGGACAGAAAAGCCTATTACTTCTAAATTATTATGTGTTTTTTGTTGTAAAAAATCTTGGTAACATTACCTCTGAGAACAGTACAAAATAATAAACAAAGGCAGTTCATGACCCCTTTAAAATGCACATAGAAAAAACATCCAATTTATCCAATAAGAAGGCATGCACATAAATTCTGATGGAAACACATTTACCGAATAAATTCCTCAATGTGCAACAAAAATCATATGGGACTTTGACTCAACAGATCATGTGATTGGATAACTGGACTAACCAGTGGACCAATCACATTGCACACTGCATTGCATCTCCAATGTTAAGTCATTCTGAAATGCCTGAGCCAAAGTATGTAATCAACATTATTGGCTATAATTACCTCCCAGAACTACACACGATTGCATTCCCAAACATCAGGCATCTGCCTCTTAACGCAAGATAACATGACAGCATTTGTATTGTGTTTCATCTGCGTACTCTTGAGGCGCATGCCATTATTATTGAGGAAAAAGAGCCACAGTGACTTCTTCGGGTGCAACAACTTCCATTTTTATTATTGATACGTTGCGCCAGTTTCCCAGGAAGTGACGATTTGATCACTTAAACACATGAGATGAAACTGTGCTTTATTCTCAAATGTTGTATGTGATATTCCTTTCCTTTGGAAGAATACATGGCTAGTGCTGTTCTTAAATGCTTGGGTGATTTCTTTCTTAATCTTTAATTTTAATTTTATTTTTTGCATGTTTTTCTTCAGGACTCTCATCGCTTTGGAAACAATATCAGGCAAGCAATGCTTGATATGCTGGATCTGTTTCAGCTTGACAAAAAGGACCTAAAGTGATTTGATTGGTGAAAGGATTATGCTTTTAATGACTCATGTCACCTTGATTCTATATCGGCAGTGTTGAGAGAAGCTTTTTTGTTTGCATGTGTGTCTGCGAGATGCAGCGTATGAAGGAGAGAAGTAGGCAGGGAGTGTGAGAATCTCATTCTGTTGTTATTTGTGCTGGTGCCTTAACATATGTCTTAACTGAACAGTTCAGTGCAGGTGATCTGAACTTTCACTTTCAGCTTTCAGTATATTTTACTGAGATGTACAGTTTCGTAGATACTTCAATAGATGACATTCTCTTGACAAGATATCAAGGAGCATAATAATCACTTGGCTGAAGTGTTGAGTTTACAAATCAAGCAATACGCAGCTCTCCATTTGTGCTTTCAGTTTGCATTCTGATATTTGCAGTTTTTCAAGTTAAGAATTAAGTTATGAAGGAAATGATGAGATTATGCAGATGATGAGTTTCTGAATAATAAGTGTGCAGTCTTTTATTATGGATTTTGCTCACATTTTGCTCTCCAACCTGATTGAATGGGTTGGTATCGTGTCGATTCAGCATTGAAAGGTCACTACGTTTTAATGTGGGATGTGTTAGAAGGCTTTATCACATTAATTGTACGTTTATTTTTTATTTGATTTCATTCCATTTCCTTCCATCATATTTTATGTTTAGTTTTGAGTGTCATATACTGTAATAATTTTGGAAATCATTGTCAAAAAATGATTTAAGTTCTGGGGAAAAATCTAATGTATTCTGAACTCAGTTATTTATTTTGTACACATAATAATGTGTTAATGAATAATTAATGAGTGTCCTCTCAAGGTACATGTACATTTATTTGGAAATTTAGAATAAGCATTAAACATACCATAAACATATTAATAATGTGAATAATGGAAGCTTTTTTTTCTCAGTTATTCATGTCTGGTCTGTAATAAAATAGCGTTGACTTTTTTTTTTTTTTTTTAAGATAAAGGTTCATACAGACAATTCTTCTCGTAAATATAAGTTGGATGCTTCACTAAAGAGAAACTCTGGGAAATCTTAAACATAATTTTTACTTTCACATTAGAGTTTTATTACATTTATTGCAATTTCATTGCATTTCCTATTTTCAATTGATTTGTATGCATCACTGGTGTTTTTCATATAGGCCAGAGTCCAGTCATTGACCTATTAAAGCCATCTCTTCTAAGTAGACTGCATAAATTGAACTGTGTTCCTGTTTAAACAGTCTGACATCATCCTAAAACATAAAGAGAAATGTGGTTAAGCCTTTATTTCCCTCTTTAAAAAAAACAGCGGAACTTTGGAAGTGTCTCTATAACGAATGGTGTGTACTAAAACTACTTATTTAATTGTTCATTCCCACTTTATATTAGGTGTCTTGCTGCTGTTGAGATGGGATACGAGTGAGGTTAAGGACAGGTTTCGTGGTATGGGTAGATATAAGTACTTCAAATGATTAATTTAAATGTTAGTAGTAGTTAAAGACATAATATAAAGTGGGGCCAAGTACTCAATTTAAAAGTGCAAAAAACATTAACTTTATGAAACTTTATGAAATTACATCAGTCATCTCTAAGACATCAAAAATATATATATATAAATAGGTTAAAATGCTTTACTTCAACCTCACACTAGGCAAATAAGTTTTTTTTTGTTTTGTTTTTTCCAGCTCCTATTTCTGTCATTTGCTTTAAGCACCTGAATGTATGTCAATTTCAATCTAAATCTTAGTCCACATGAAAGGTGCAGTATGCATTTCATCACATACACCATTTATCTGGGCCTGGGTTGCATTTTAATATCATTTTACTCAGTAATAAGAGGAATGTTTGGATAGTGTTTCCGATATTTTTCATAACTGTAAAGCAGCAGTTGATAATTATGATCTTATTTTAAGAGATCTGCTCTCGTTTTATTTTTCTTTCAGCAAATAGTGAATGTGCTGTTGCATAATGACAATTTCAAAAGTTAGAAAAAGGTGTGTTGATCTTCCAGCTTTTTCTTTAAAACATTTATTAATTAAAAAAATTTACGTTTTTATGGGTCTACGCACCCTGAGCCACTGGAGCGCAGTAATTTTATCCTTTTTTTTTTTTGACCAGCCTGACTTTTTAAATCAAAATCTTTCTTTTGAGAATCTTGCAGACCATCAGACTTACTCTTTTTGCACAGATGCTTCATTATTTTCATGTATACCAAAAACTAAATTTTTAAACCACACCACTTTTTGCAATTGTACATGCATTGTCTTTAACAAAGTCACTACAATTTCATAGTTGGTTTTAAGGTAGTTGTTCAACAAGCTTGAGAGGATGTTTTACTTCAAGAGAAGAGGGATGTAAGATCTTGTGATCTAAACAAAAGGATAAGCAAGGTTAGGTCGCTTAAAATTTCAAATTTTGAAATTTATCTAATCATTCTATGAACAAAAGTAAGAACACACCCTGTCTTTATTCAACAGCACATTGAGGTGTATGAGTCTAGGAGAAATTAAACTACTTTCAACCAACAGACAACTTCTCGTCAATGTTTGGTGGTTCATCTATTAGTGTGCCTCCTAATGCCAATTTTAACCAATTTGGATTCGGTTGCCTTCCTTCTATCATTTGAGTCTCCTCTTAACTGGCAAAGTAAACAATTTGAAAATATGAGCGTTCAACTGAAATTAGTTACATGATTACATGTACAGTTACATCTATTTGTCTAAAATTAAAACCACACAATATTGTCTTTTTCGTAAGATTTATAATGCAATGTTACTCATGGTGTGAATTGTGGTTTTTAAGTGCTCTAGTAAAGCATAGTGAAATTGAGGGCCGTTGCACAGATGCAGGTGCTGGATTGGTGACTGAGATTGAATGGTTGGAGGACACCTCTGTTGCTTGATGCATAGCCACAAAGAAAGCAAAAACAGAAACAAACAAATACATGCCTTTGGTCTGCTCATGTAGGTTATCACTGTATAGTTGTGTGATTTAATGTTGCTTTACTTCTGGCTTGTACAATGTATGAGACAATTAATAGGTAAGGAAATTAATTATTGCATATTAGGTTCTGAAACGCAACTTCTTGTGTTAAGACTAGGTCTGTCAAGTGGTGAATTGCTGGACCCTGAGATTAGATATCAAAGGCTGATTGTCATCCCATCCAACTGTAGTTTAAATATAGGTCAATTAATCAGGTATCAAGCAAATTTACTTTAAACCAGGGCTGTCCAAACTCAGTCCTGGAGGGCCGGTGTCCTGCAGAGTTTAGCTCCAACCCTAATTAAACACACCTGAACCAGCTAATCAAGCTCTTACTAGGCATAGAAACTTCCAGTCAGGTGTGTTGAGGCAAGTTGGAGCTAAACTCTGCAGGACACCGCCCCTCCAGGACCGAGTTTGGACAGCCCTGCTTTAAACCTTGTTAAATGTACACTCTAAAAAATGCTGGGTTAAATATAACCCAGCATTTTTTTGAGTGTATATCAAGTTATATGAAGAGACTTCAAAATGAGTCAGTGGGGACCAGCAACTGTGTGGTTACCCACATTCTTCAAAATATATTTTTTATGTTCAACAGAAGAAAGAAACTTATACAGGTTTGGAACAACTCGAGGGTAAGTACCAGTAAATGAAGAAACATTTTTGGGTGAACTATGCCTTTAACAAAAGTATTGGGCCATTTGCCTATTAGTAGAAATGTGTAAAATGAAAGAGATACTTGCACTAATTAGAACTGTATTTCTCAACTCAAGTTACATAATGGGAAGATGTTTTTATATTAATGCAAGGCTTATTTTTCATTATGAACAATCTAGTATTTTAGTTGAATTTCCAGCTATTACTATTACATACTTTTATATATCCCTGTTACAGCAGTTAAGGCGAACAAGGATTTTGCTGTTGGTAAATTATTATAATTTTTTTGGTAAGCAGCTTTAAGATGTTGTCCAACATATACTTTGTTGAGAGGAATATATTTATCACACAATAATGCTATTCATTCATCAAGATCAAAATGTAGCGACATCTATAACCAAAAATCAATGGAAGAATGTAGCATGTGTAGGAGAAGGTCGTGACTGTGAAATATGTAATGCTAAATGTATGCAATATAGGGTCATGCATGCGTGTCTTTGCTGCACTGTAAAAAAAAAAAAACACTTAAGAAAACTTAAAAATGTAATGCAACCTGATGCATTAAATATTGTATTAAAAATTGTCTGAAGTAACACTGCTTTGTCCGTTTTAATTTGTTCATTCACTACATGAAAATACGTGATTCATAATATATTACAATTTAATCGGTACACATTTTGCAGAAAAATAGATGCTTGTGAAATTCAATCACTAGAAAAGTAAGTTTCCATAGCAACTTTGGTCCGCTCTAGTACTTTTCAGGCTTTTCAGATCATTATATCAGACAAAACAATACTCTTAACTATTTATCACTATAATTTGAAATAGCACAAATATCAATAAAAAAAGAAGAAGAATATCATGTGATGCCTTAGGTGACGAATTGGGAATTGCCAAATACTTGAAGCGAATTTGCCTGCTTTTACCCAATCAGCTCAGCTTCAATGAATTACCCCTTGCAGTATTGACTTGTGAAGAAGAGGTCTCATTTGCAAAAACACATAAGGCCAAGGTACTCGGGATTAAGACAAATCCTTTATTTGCTTTTGGCTATATATATATACATATAAAATAAAAAATCACATGCAACCTCACACTGATGTGCTGTGACTAATAAGCCTACATCAGGGTGTGGAAAACTGACATACTAAAGCCTAAAGGTCTTTTTATACTGAGGTTTCATATGGGCTTTGATTCTCAGCGGGCCCTCTTTCAAATGGTTCTAGGGTAGAAGACAATTTAGGGACGACCTGGCAAGGGAATTTTATCAATGATGGGTGACCTCTTCACAATGGCAGCCATGGTACAACATTGTGTATTACCCTATAATGAATTGTATTTTTAGAGCACATTTGAACTTTCTTTAAATATTTAATTTCACAGTATGTAATAAAATTTCGTATTCATTACATGGGACATTTTATCAGTGACGAGAAACAAATGTGCCTATACACAGTGTCTAAACCTGCAAAGATCACATAGCAACATATGATACAGAGTAAGGCTTTTCCACTGTCTTTTTTTTAAAGAGGTGCAACATTAGCATGCACTGGTTAATCTAGTTCTTTGAGCACATAATTACAAACAACCATGCAACGTAGGGTAATGGTTTTATTACACAGGTAAACATCGCTGTTCTAAAAATATTAGTGAGTGTAAGAGGGTGTTTGGTGTAAGGATTAAAGAGTGACTGAGTTACATGAGGAATGCAAATATAGGCCTGAGCAGTTATTGCTGGCAAAGAGTGCCAAACGTCAAAATCAGCAAGGCCAAAATGGGTCACTGTATTCACTGTATCAGATTGTCATACAGTAATTGTAATAACAGTACACACATAACATAAAGATCGCTTCTAAAAAGATTTATATATTTAATAAATTTTTATTTCACCCAGTCATTCATTCAATCAATCACTGCCTCACTTTAACCAGAATAAGCTAAGATCTCACTCATTTTACACTGGCTTTATCACGTTGGACCACTAGAGCGTGCCATAGTGTACTTGTCATGATACAATGTCACAATATGCTTCACACACACACTATATTAAAGTTTACATAAACCATTTTCCTTTGTGGACATTCTCTCCTACCTAATATATGATCACAGTCTGTTTAATGAGTGGCGTTAGGCCTGTCTGTAAAAATAGCATCTTATGAACCCTAAGTTTATAATTGACATAAAAAATAAGCATGCTTATTTTTGTCCTAAAAGGCTATCAGTGATTGGTATTAATGCCCAATTCAGGCCATTTC